AATGGGTTACCCAGAAGGTAATATAAATGTGGGAAGGCCTTGAGTGGAAGTCAATAAATGCTCGATAAGTAAATATGGTGAAGGTTCAGCAGTGGCAGCGCTTATCACTTATCTCTCTCTTTAAAAGTAATCAGAAGTAGAATGAGCCAGAGTTATGATAATTTAAAAAAAATCAGGCTCTTTCTTCAGCCTACCTGCCACATCGACAACTCATATATATATACACACATTTAAATATAGTTTTTATAATTCTTGCCCAAGTGGAGTCTTAAACCTTTAGTTAATTTAAAATTTAAAACATTTAAAGCACAAAAAAGCCTGTTTTCTGAATTGATAAGTTTATATTACAAAAATATAAAGTAGTTTAAGAACTTCTCATCAGTAAAAACCACAGTTGCCACACAAAAGCTCCTCAAGGGGGAACTCTTAGTATCATTCCCAGCTCCATACTTTCATTCTAGACTCTAATAGAGGATGATTCACAGTTTTAACTCGTTAGGTTCTCAATGGCTTTGATGGAGCCTCTAAGTTTGAGCTTATCTCCCTTTAACACCCCTCTCTGTTCAAGCCAACTGTCTTCTAATTGGCTCCCTGGATTTCTCCTCTGCATGACTTTATACTGATGCAATCAGCAACTAGAAAAACAGACTAACCTAAGTTGCTAAGAACAATAATTGTTAATAATTGAACAATAACTTTTTCATCCATTGGGTTTGACTTAGTCCAGATTAATGTTTCTACCTGCCAAATAGACAAACATCTTTATCCATAAGTTTGGCATTTTAAAGGTGAACCCAAATGCTAAACACTGAATGCAGATTTATTGAATTATTTGTTTTTAATTCAGTGCAGTCCCACATTATTACGTTCAACGATATCAGAACAAGATCTGAGATCAGAAGGTGGACAGTACTCTTATAAACACACACACAATCGCAACTGTAACTAGTCTACATAAAATTATAAGTGTATATGTCATATACATGACAATGTAACATGCCTTAGAACAAACATAAATACGATGCTTTTTGCTAAAGTGACTAAGACTTTGTATAAGATTGTGGTTACTTTGTTACCAAATAAAATATTTTTAATAACATAAATGTAACATGTTCATAATATTCTTTGTAACTTTGCTGTGACAGGGCCCCGGTCGTATGTTTTTGTGTTGGTATTAGAATATGAACGAGACCATTATGTTCAAACAAACTCAAACAAAGTTTATTTATTTATTGAGTTATGCAACAAAAGCTAAATGTGACGAATTTAAAACGCTTTTGTACAAACTATAAATTTTGAATTTAAGTTCATCACTTCCAGCTGTAACCTAGTTTTGCTTTGTGCACCAGAGTTACAGAGAAATTATAATCACATGTCGCTGACTTGGATATCTGTGAGAAAGTCTCACATTAAAGCAGATACAATATTTCTCTGATGTTCCTACAGCACATATAAATCAGCTTTTGCAGCAGTTTAATTTCACGGCTGGAAGTGCTAATGAAAAATCTTGTCTGCCTCTTCCAGCTGTGCTTTCTTTTTTCTACTTCAGCAGTGGCTTTTTTTTCACCCTTTATCTTTAAACACGTTTATTTTTAGCTTATCGGTAATGTGCTACAGGAACACTATTGACTCTCGTGTTTTGTTTGTCTAATGTGGCACACCATCTACCATTAGTGTATTGATTAGAGATTCGGTGGCACAAATCCAGACAGATAGTTCTCGTTTGTATTCAGGCTGTCTCTAAATTTCATTTCTAAATGTGCTTCTATGTTCAGATTCATTCAGTGAGCCTTGCTGATTCGACCGGAGTGCAAAAACTAAGCAGACAGAGAGAAACACATTTTAAGTTATTGAGGGATATTTGTGACATTTGGCACTAGCATTTAAAACATCAAAATGACAAATCCTGCTGACTGCAGTGACGCCCTGACATTTAATTTCACAACAAACAAATAACATCAATGTTTTAGTTCAAGAGCAACAAGCCCTAACTTAAAAGAAAGACTGAAGAGCATTTAGTTTAAGCCAAAAAATTAGTCAGTGAAGTCAGAAACTACAACGAGTATAGTTGTAACTAAAAAAAAGAAGCTTTATTTGTTCATAGTAAGCTGTTCTCTCAGACACTTTCTGTCCACTTCACATCCTTGACCTTAACCAAGCGGAGAACTTAAAAGTGAAGCCGAAGCTTACGTGTCAGATCCTCTCTGAGCAAGTCAGTTCTGTTAAAATTTCCAGCTTCAGCAATAAAATAAACACATTTACAGCCAGGTTTTTAGACTTTGTAGCTAATTTAACCCTTCAAAATAACTGTAAACCCCCCCTTAAATTTGCCTCTACAGTTTACAATTATAGAAGTCTGATAGGAGGTGAAAGAGCTAACAAGTACAGACCGTTCTCTCATGTTGTTGCTGTGAGTGTGTGGTGTGTCACCAATTTTATGTACAATGTAAGAACACATGACACACAGTAAACACACAATATGACTACCTTGCTGACACACTTCATCCCCTACCGCACTCACAAACACACACACAATATTCTCATTAACTCATTAACTTTACCTTTAAGCCTTTTAGAGCTTTACAGGTTTATTTGTTCTCCGTATGTGTGTGCGCAGTGTTTATGGGAATCACGGTGGATGTCTTCATGCGTGTGTGCAACATCTGTCAGAGGAGGTTAAGATGAGAAGGACAAAACTGCACACACACACGAAATCCCCCAAAGTAGTTCGCAGGGAGGCCCTGTAAAACGGAATATTTCCCGTCAGTGAGTCATAAAATATTTCCGTAACAGACCAACGCTGCAGGTCCTCGGGCAAAATAACAACTATAGACATGAGTGTAAATAAATTACACATGCCTTACATTTTACAATTCTCCCTGTATTTTATTTTATGTAACCATGATGGTTTGCGTTAAATAACACTATATTCACAAATGAGATTCAAAATGTATAATATATGTACTGTTACTATGTACAAGGTACATAGTTAAAGTGCATTAATGGAAAAAAAGCAGTACTGTGGGTTGGTGAGTAAACATGCATGATCATGTGTGTTTGTGTAAGTAAATGAGAATGAAATCAGTAAAGACTGACATTATCATCAATAAATAAAGAAATAATAATAATAAAAATACAAGGCACCATTCATTACATATACTGAGTCATTAGCTAAGTCAATAAATGATTTGCAAGAGGCGAGCGCATCTAGACATACACTGGACAAGTAAAGGAAAAGGGATCAATTTATAATAATAATCATGATCATAATAATAATAATAATAATAATAATAATAATAATAATCATTATTATGATTATTATTATTATTATTATTATTATTATTATCTATATTTTATTGGTGAATTATTATTATTGTTGTTGTTGTTGTATTTGCTTGCATTTTAATATACTGTTTTTAGATCTTCTTAAATATTTGTCTTTTTTGTTTGCTAATGTGTCCCACCAGCACTAATCTTTCTTTACACACACACAGGGTCTGTATGTGTGTGTGTGTGTGTATTTTTAATAAATACACACAAATAAATAAATAATATATAAATAAGTTAAATTATTCTATATTTTATTAGTGAATTTTGATTGACTGTTACTGATGCAAAGACAAGGTCTAAGTCTAAATTACAACAATGCAACAATGAAGAAATCCGATCATTACTACTGCCTGAAAATTTTGATTAAATTACATTTAAATGTAATTACATTTGGTGATTGAAGTATCACTGCTTACTGCTACAGATTAAATAATCTTCTGCCTTTTAAATGACGAGTTTTAACCCACCAGTCACACTTTTGTTTTGTTTTGTTTTTTTTAAATAAAAAAATTATTTTTTTTATATCTCTATTTTCTTATTTATGGCTTTAAAACACTCATGAGGGTGTAAATTAAATTATTTAAATGCTTAAATGATTTCTCTGTCTACAAATATTTTGTTTAATAAAAAATTTATGAAAACAGAGGAATTCATAGTTATCAAGTTAGATGTGAGGAAGTGAATAATTTTACTGTCAATAATACTCATTACATACAATAACACGGTTATAATAACAAGGTTCAGAGATGCATTGTTTTCATCTATAACTCCTGGATGTGACACTAAGTTTAAAAAGATGGAAAATTCTGAATGTGACAAAGAGTCAGTGGCACAGCTCCATGAAGATATTATTAATAAAGTGATACTGAACCTCCTTAGGGATTAATAAAGTATTCTGATTCTGAAAGAAGTAAAAATTTCAGCTGTTCAAAAAGAAACATCCTCTGCATGAGAGTCCGTGTGTAATACACGGGGTAAAGGTGCAGCGCTCGTGAGCCTAAAGGACTGCAGGAAGAGCTAAATCTACTTGATCTAAATGTATGTGCGTGTTTGGAGACTGTAAAGTGAAACTAAATGCTGCACAGTTTAGGAAAGTTTATTTTATGTATTATCTTCCAAGAAAGATTATAAGAAACAAAAAAACAGGCATGAGAACAACATAAAATACAATAAAATGAGAGTTTTTTTCTAAAAGGGGTCACATTGTACCAGATTTGACCTCCAATTCCCAGTTGTTCTGCTTTACAAAAGAAATATGAAACAATTATATATAACACTCAACCTACATAGATATCCACGTTGAGGTGAGTGTGTCAGTGTCGGTAAACAGTGATGACAGCTTTTCTGTGACCCACTTACAGACACGGACGAACAGAAATGTTTGTGTACACTTAACAGGATGTTTAAAATAAAATTATTGCTCCTTCTTAAAACCCATCACCTCACCGATGGCCTGTTTAGGATTAGATTTATACAAATATATTATATTATATTATATTATATTATATTATATTATATTATATTATATTATACATGACTTTTGTATGCTTGTACAAGCTTGTAGTCCATAAACCTAAATTTAAAAATAAAGTTTTAATCTTAACACTACCTGCCACCTCATCCTCTCTTGTGGCCGGTGTGGATGAATTTGCCTCTAAAAAGCTCAAGAGTCACCTTATAAACTCCATATCTGTAAATAGAAAAGTCACAGGCAGAAACAGTGAGTTTAAGAGGGGATAGATTTATTTTACTGCCAAAGCTCCAGTGACTTCAGTCAAAACTAAATTGAAACTTTTTACTGTTAATATTTTGAAAGCTATAAGACTGCTAAAAGATTTACTTATTACCAAAGAAGGCTCCTTTTAATTTGATTTGATAGCAAAAACACGGATCACAGCCAATGAAGGAGGCCTTTATTGACATTTTTCTCCTCTAATTCCCAGTTGTTCTGCTTTACAAAAGAAATATGAAACAATTATATATAACAATTTTCAATATACAGGGGCTGATGAGGCTGAACTCATTTCTGGGAAGAGGACTTGAAACGAGGTCATGTATTACCAGATCCAAGGCATTAAAAATCAAAAAGATTTATATCAGGTACCAAGACTTCAACTTTATAGCAGTTTTATTGTGTTATCTGGTACTCCCAAAAGGCCTTCAACTTTAATAAAGATGTAGAAAAAAATGGTTGATTATTTAACTTTAAATCATAAGGATTTTTTTTCTCATCACACTAAAGGAACAAATGATGCAAATTAAAACACAATAAAATATTTAAAACCGAGCATCATTATCCTGGGTATATTTTTATTCATTAAAGCAGGCTAATGGGCTACATGTGTTTTCCTCTTGATGTAATCTTCCGATTGTGACTCTTAGTAAAACTGAGTTTGAGCCCTTGTCCAGTGTGCTTGTTGTGAATGTGACCTCTGCTGATCTTTAAACCCACATTAAAGGTCATTTACATCCATGAGTGGATGCTTTCAGGCCAAGATATCAACTGCTCGTTGATGTGGAAATATATATAAAGTGAACTTTTGGACAACTATCATAAGGTCTGAACTTTGGTTTCACAATTTTTGTTGGCATTAATAGAGTTTATTAATTAAATTGTAGTCTTTGTAGTTCAGTCACAGACATTACAAGTAACACAGAAAAATAAGTTGAATATAAATGATGTGATAATGAGCACTAAATGCCAACAATGAAGACAATAGACCTCAAATGTCCTCAACTCTGTGTCATGAGGTGATCTGTATGTGTAGTACAGGGCATGCTGTGATTGGTTGACCTGCTTGGCTTCATGTAAATTTCAAAACCTTCCTCAGAGGAATTCCTTCGGAGTGAAGTCAAGGAAAACTTAACCTGGATGCCCCAAAGATCACTGCATGCAAAGCCAATAGAATTAAACCTGCTTACACCCCTGCTTATGTGCTGTGTGCATATTTATAGAGAAACATTTGTTAACTTTACTGTGGGCAATACAAGCATAATCATGTCAGAATTTCTGCCCATTCCTGTAAACTTCATGCATTTGGGAGAGAGAAAAAAAAAAAAGGATAACAGCTCTATCTGTTGGACTCAGTGGGTTAATGCACTTCAACAGCTTAGGAACATCATTCAAATTTAGGACATGATTAAAATGTCAACATCAGCAGATAAAAGCACATTTTTAAAAAGTAGCAGCCACAGTTTAAGGTTTTAAGCAGTTTTGTAAGGAAACATTAATACTAACAGTTAGTGTTCGGCGCAAAAAGGTCGGTTTTCAGAGCTTTTGGAAAGAACAACACTAGGTTTTTATTTTTTTAAGTTTTTATTTTTTTTAAGCTTCGAATGCTGAAGTAACCTAATCATCTGCTAGCACAAAATGATCAAATCCAGTTGTCTTTGCAGGTCTGTAGGTCTTTTGGAGCTTTTGAACTTTTTAAAAGTAAGTTGTTAAGTAACAACTTTGAAGAAATTGTTTTTTTTAAAAACACTAAAACTAGCAATAAATAACACTATACAAAATATGCATTTTACTTTATTATTCATTTTCACTTATATAAAATGACACTTTTCCATTACAACACTTTGTTTTCTTTCACACTCAACATCAAGAACGTAACATCACAACGCCTCTACAGTTACATCCAACAAGGTCAACCCCTTTGTCCATTAAAATTGTTTTTTTATTTACCTTTTTTTTTTTTTAAACAAGCATCTAATTTCCTGCTGAAGAATGCAGCCTGGCATAGTGCCGTCACATTATCCAGATTTCTTTTTAATGCTGTGAAACAGATTTACACAAAGAGCAACACACAGACACACACACACAGGAAGAAAAAGTCCTGTGGATTAAGGTTGAATACTGAGATTTTAAATTTGTTCTGTTTAAATCTTATATGTAGACTGGTGTTTACCCAAAGTTAGTTTATGTATTTGTACATTTGTTATATTTTTGGGACGTTTGGGATAATAATCATTCAGGGTGACCTAACCTGCTTTTTAGTGATCCATAATTTCATCAGCAGTA